AGTTTGAATCAAAAACAGATGAAGGTGAAGGTGAAAATGAGCAGCGAATGACGTATTTGCTGCTGACAGACAGACAGTAAGTAAGTATTTTTGTAAAATTAATATTTGGTTTGTTACCGAACAAAAATTCTTTAATAATTCTAAAGTTTAGGTAGACAACTGTGACAAATTTGCATATAATTTCACAGTTTTTAAGCCAAAACATACCTGAAGACATGGAACATTCCATAAAGCCTGTTTAACATTTGGCCATTGTTCAGATAGTTTAGTTAGGGCAACCGGATCAAGTGCCACAATCAAAGAACGTTCATGTACACCTAAAATTCTCCAAATTAATACTGTTAGAATTTAAAAATTTAAGTCAAAAAATTTTATGAGCAAAAAAAAAGACATAAAATCAAAGAGTATATTTAAATTTTTACTACCTAAACACAAAAAATTTCAAATTCTAAAGGAAAAACAGAGAGAACAAATGTCACATGTTAGGCAACCGTAATAAATCTGTTTTAGCAAACTTGTTTGAAAACAATAACTAAACTATGACTTTTTTTAGACTTATTGCTAGTTAGTTTTTCATTTTTTTTTTTGGAACATATTTTGACGACATTTTTAGAAGTTCAAAAGTTGTAATCTTTTGGTAAGTTCATAGTTTAACTGTACAAAGAACTACAAAAAATTTTGTACTGAACTTTGCATCTTGTATCTGATTTCTACAACTGAATATGTCTATAGAACAAATCCGGTTATTTGAAGAGGTTTTTTTTTCTTTTAACATTTTATGTTTAATTATGTATTTATATATTTTTCACTTCCAGATGGACAACCATTCATCTTGACTCAGTGTAATGTTCATGCTATTAAGCAGTCTAAGTTCTTGCATCTAGAAACCTTTTTGTAGATTTATCAGACAAAATAAATTTAGCTTAACCATTCTCAAGGTTTTAGTGTGTCTTTGATGTCGGAACAACATAATACCAATCAACAGAATATATTTTTGGGTTACCTTATCTGAAAGAATCAAATTGCATAAAAAAAACCGACGTTTATCGACAGACGACGATACGCTTTTGAACTTATGATAACATTTTCCTACTTGCTTCATCATCAATCTTTAAGCATTTAACATCCAAAAAAAAGTGATGTTATATTAGCAGTTTAATTTTTTATGTGCAAAAGAAAAGGAACTGATACAGTTGAGCAAATGTTCAAAGGAATTCATTGAACAACAACCGTATTTGCACACACACTAAACAGTTCAACAGATGTAGAAATGTTGTCAATATTTTTATCTGTCACATATCTGTCAGATATATGATTACCAAATTGTTGGCATCGATAAATCATCACATAAAATTGTTACTTTCTTTTTTTTATCTTAATCGCATCTGTTGTCTACTCTTTCCTTTATTTTTGCCGATTTAAAAGCTATAAGTTTTGGAGTTTTTTTTTTGGAAGAATTGGAGAGATAATTACTGTTTTGTTTAATAGTTAAATCTAAGATACATCTAATTGAGCCTATTTATGTTTAATTTCAAAATTTATGATTACTTTGATTGAACTGTTGAATAATTTTATAACTGTTTGGTTGGAGTAGTCAAAAAGAAAACGATGAGAAAGAATGACAATTGATTGTTAATTTGAAAAAAAAAATTTTCTTTTTTTATCATATAAAATGAACATAACTGATGTTACATCTTCAAAGGCATCAATTAGTCTTTTCTTTATTTTTCTGTCTACTGTTATTATTCAAAAAAATCTGTAATTAATGCCGAGATATCAATAAGCCAAAAAAGATTATAGTTTGCCAAAAAAAAATTGATTTGCAGTAGTTCAAAAAAAAATATATATGCTAAAAATTACTGATAAAATAGATAAGTAAATAAAATATGTTATCAACAAAACAAAAAAAGACGAAAGATTAACTGACCTTTAATATTTTTTGTATTACATAACCAATTAAGTGTCATATCCACTGCAAAATTATTCAGTATCAAAATCAACGTCGGTTCCGTATTAGAAAGTGTGCTGATCATTGAAGAAAATTTTTTATCAGCTTTCTAGAAAACATTTTATTTTATGAGTTTGTTAAACAGTGTTGGAGAATAGTTACATCAAATTTCCCTTTTTTTTTTT